AACTATTAGACAGTCACCCGATCTAAACCCGATTGAAAATATATGGAATTTAATGAAAAGAAAAATGGAAGAGAAATTCTAAAAATATCGATGAATCAAAAAAAAAAAAAAAAAGAAATTATAGATATTTGGAATAATATGTATAAAAATTTAATTTCTAAGCTAATTTTTTCGATGTCAAAAAGAGCAAAGGCGGCTTTTGAAGCGAAGAGATTGAAGAATGTGAAAGAAACGTTTCTAGCCGCTAGCTAAAGAAGATGACAAAGAAGGAATTAGAAGAATTTTTCAGGATCATTGAAGAATTTAAAGGGAAATGTTTACAAGCAGACTCTTATGAAGATAGAAACCGTCAAATTTGCAGAAAAATTGAAGGGGCAATTTCTCAGTACCACTAATTATGTGAAGAACAGAAGAATAGCCAGCGGCAAATCACCCAAAGATTTTTTTTTTTTTTTTTATAATCAATCAGATTAACAAACATTAATTCATAGCATTTTTATTGTATCTTCTTATATGTAACTATATTTTAATTAAAAAAATACACTGTTATATCTCGTACAATAAACAAAGTAACCCGAGGGTTGGTTTTCAATAATAGGTTTATAATCGGATGTAGGTGTGTCAAGTACAGAGACAGAGTCGGGAGTATGTTAACCTCAATAGGGGTTAACAAACGAAGACTTCTCGACTGTCTGCTGTGGTCGTACTTAATCGGCAACCAGTCCGTCCATTATCGTGAATGGGGAAGTTGGGTTATATCATCACAATATACACAAATTAGAAATTGTGAATGAGACTAAAATTTGAGGTACAAATTACATCATTTCCTATAAGTATTTTATATTCGATTAATACGTTTTCGATTAGTGCGTTTCTTTTAATGTACAAAACAGCCGCATTAATCGAGGGATTACTGTAATTGCTTAATCAAGATGTTGGCGTTCCAGACTACTTCAAAGCAAAGGTAAGGGAGGAAACTCCCTATCTATATGGGAAAGAGCAATAACAGAAACCTATTTTCCGGAAAAAAAATTGTTTGAAAGATAATATAGATCTATTTTCCGGAAAAAATAGAAACCTATTTTCCGGATAATAGAAACCTATTTTCCGGATAATAGAAACCTATTTTCCGGGAAAAAATTGTTTGAAACATAATATAAATTTAAACCGAAAATAGAAATGGCTGCTCGGCGAGTGGATGATGACATTTTCCTTTTAAGGAAACGGCTAAAATTATCATTACTATTTAGATGCACATGAAATAGACTTTGTCAGAACCTCCACAAAACAATAACACTATATATTCGAGTGCTTTTTGCTACCCTTTTAGCCATTATCAAGGATTTCACACACACGCACATGCACACACACAAACACACACACACAAATATATATGTATATATATATATATGGCAATCTTCTATGTCAACCAACAGAATATCATAGTTAATCGGAAGCAAATTGTAAATGGGATGATTTATGGCGAAGAAGAAGGCGAGGCCTCTGCAGCTGTTTCAAGTTCTTAAACCTTTTCTTATTTAAATGCCGTCGAATTGTTCGAGAGCTTTCATTCAGCATCTGTATTCGCTTTTATCTGATTTGATGTCAGGCTTGAATCTCTCTTAGCTTCTCGCCTAATGCGTCTGTCTAGAGATGAGATTTTATTGGGGCGACCGCTTGATTTTTTACAAGCATAGGCATCCGGATTTTTAATGAAGTTAGCAATAATAGTTCTGCTACGGCCAATTGCATTTGCAATGGCTCGTAGCGAAAAACCACGTCTTTGAAGTTCAACAATCCTGCCCTGTTCGAACTTTGTTAAAATTTTACCCTTATCCATTTTAAAATCTGGAATTTAATACTGAAAATGAGCTACGTATATATCTACACGCCTGAAGCTATGAGCACACTGACTAGTTCTAAAAGTTTGATCCAGTAATTTGTTTTTTTTTATCGCACATGTTCTTCTCTTTATAACCAACCATAAAATCCTTTTTTCAATGTTCGTTTAAATTAATCAATTAGAAGCTTAAAATTTTCACTTGTTTGTTGACAAACTACATTTCCTAATTAAATGTAAATGTTTCGCAAATATATTTTGATTAAAGCAACAGTATTTTATATTTCTTTTTAAGCCTTTTTTAGCTAGTCTTAAGATTTTGACCATGGGTATATATATATATATATATATATATATATATATATATATATATACATATAAATATAGAAAACTAGACTCGTTTTTGAAAAACCCTCGAATTTTTGATTTGCTAATCAAATCAATCTCGAGGGAAAAAAAGGTTTTAAAAAAGAAAGAGCTACAAACATAAACTTCTGCCGACAAAAAAATCGCACAGATGCAGGTCTGAAGCCCAAAGAAAAAACCCCGATACGAGTAACAACTAACTAACAAAAGAGCTCAATACAACCGTAGAGCAGACCTAGATACACCTAGTGAGCCAGACAAACCTACCTAGGTTTCACCGAAACGTATCGTCAGGAAAGTTTGGCCAAACTTTCCCTGACGATCTGTTTATGTGAAACCTAGTTAGGTTTGTCTGATCTATATATATATATATATATATATATATATATATATATATATATATATATATATATATATACATATATATATATATACACTCTGCACTGTGTTTTTAATTAAAATAATTGCTAAGAACACTGGATTATAAACTTTACTGTTTTTTATTATTTTAATATATATATATATATATATATATATATATATATAAATTGTGAATATTTAGGCAATTTTTATTAATTAAATATACACAATTTATATATATATATATATATATATATATATATAAATTGCTGCCTAAATATACACAATTTATATATATATATATATATATATATATATATATATATATATATAAATTGTGTATATTTAGGCAGCAATTTTTATTAATGCATGTTTCATTAAATAATATAGACAAGTTTTGTCTATTTTAAGTGAATTCCTTTAATATTGTCGGATAAGCTTAATAACGTTAAATTTAAATTGGATTTAAACATGTATCAATATGATGATTTCCTTTTCGTTTTCAATGATAACAATATGAAAAGAACTTACTAAAAATAAATAGACAAAAATTGTCTATATTATTTAATGGAACATGCATTAATATATATATATATCTATATATCTATCTATCTATATATATATATATATATATATATATATATATATATATATAGTATAGCACGTCAGGACAAATGACGGTTCCATGTAAGATACGGGATACGGGAAAATGTATAACAATATGGAAAAAGTTTTCCAGTGACGCGTTTCGTCCTTTACGACTTCATTGGACTAAATTTGTTATGTAGGTGCGACTACACATGCGCACGAACAAGGGATGCTGGGAATTTTTTTTAAAAATCCTGGTGATTTTATTTAGTTTCTTCTTCTTTTCCTTTGCATCACTTTTGCTATTAGATATCCCGCACTGTGATAATAAAAGTTCTCCCAGGAATCATGAAATGTTGTAAGAGCCAGGGGGAAAATTTATTGTAGATGACTTTGCGATGAAGTCACACTCTAGAGACATTTACGTAGTGAATTGTTTTCTCCTTTGATCAGACTAGCATTTTTTTCATGTCAAACATTTCACGATTTAAAAAATTAAAAATTCCCAGCATCCCTTGTTCGTGCGCATGTGCAGTCGCACCAACAAAACAAATTTATTTCGATGAAATTCTAACGGACGAAATGTGTTACAAGAAAACTTTTTCCACTTTGTCAGATATGAGCGTTCGAGAGAAATCATGGCGAAATTGTAGTTTAAAAGCAGTAATTCGACCTTGCTAACAAGACACTTCCTCTGTAGCTAAGTGGTATAGCACGTCAGGCTATATGACGGTTCCTTATAGGATACAGATTCGATTCCAGTCGGAGGACATATTTTCTATGAAATTTCTCGGATATTCAGGCCGGTAAATGTTGTTAATACTGTTTATTATAAACAGAGCATTTACCTATCCATAAAAGTATCGTATAAGCAGAGAATATATATATTGTTTATAAATTATTTTAATAAATATAAATGCTGTGTTTATAATAAACAGTATTAACAACATTTACCAGCCTGAATCTCCGAAAAATCTTAAAGAAAACATGAGTCCTCCGATTGGAATCGAACCTGTATACTACGTGAAACGCTCATATAGTCTGACGTACTATACCATTTATCTACAGTGGAAGTGTGCGGCTAACAGGATTAAATTACCGTATTTAACCTACAAGCTTAAACGTGCTAACAAGACGCTTCCTCTGTAGCTAAATGGTATAGCGTCAGGTTATATAACGGTTCCGTGTCGCATATAGTTTTCGATTTTTAAAAAATTAATCACTTTGTGTGACGATCGCAAAAGCGTGAAACCCAGGGTCACAAACTCACATCAATCCAACCGAATATATATATATATATATATATATACATACACACATACGGTCAGAAGATCACAATGTGTGATTCATCATGCAATGTTGATTAGACTAGACTGTGGTAGGCATAGTTTGTTCGACGCTGCAAGTAATTACAAACTTAAAATCTCAAGTCATGTTCTTAAATAGCCTCGTCAGATCGAGACATTCCTACGGATGTCAAGTCTGGCGCCAAACTCAGATCAATGATTACAATATCGCCTCAAGTAAATGAGGCCTGTAGGTTTTCGTGAGGAACACCATTCTTTGAACCTCATAGACTGGCAATATAGAATCAGAAACAAAGAACTTTCCTAAATAACAGAAACCATATTACTTCAGGATATTAAACCGCAGCAACAATTAAAATGAATAACACATAGAATTCAGAGTGAAAATAATGACAGAATCAATTTGTTGATGTTCTACTTCAAGTAAAAGTTTAAAAAGGAGACCTTCATTAATATTTGAATGAGCAATAACAGTAGATTTGAAAATGCTGTTTTCCTGAAAAAATCTTTGAATAGAAAAGAGACAGTGGTAGTGAAACAGGAAGAGATAGATAGATAGAGAGAGAGAGAGAGAGAGAAAAAAATAAGAGAAAGAGACAGAGAGAGACAGTGAGACAGAGAAAGGGAGAAAGATACAGTGAGACAGAGTCAGTGACAGTGAAACAGATAGAGATAGAAAGAAATGCAGAAAGTAACAGAGATGCAGAGAGAGAGAGAGAGAGAGAGAGAGAGAGAGAGAGAGAGAGTGACAGTGAGAGAGAGAGAGAGAAAGAGAGAAAGATACATACCGAAAGGCGGAGACAGGGAGAGATAGTAACTGAGACTGCAAGAGAGAGAGAGAGAGAGGGGGGGAAGAGAAAGAGTCAGACAGAAAGAGAGAGAGAGAGAGAGAGAGAGAGAGAGACAGCAACAGTAAGATAGAGAGAAAGAGAAAAAGAGAAAGAGACGGATAGACAGGCAGGAAGAGAGAGAGATAGAGGGTGACAGTGAGACAGAGACAGAAAGAGAAAGAGAGAGGCAGAGAGGCTGCGACACAGAGAGACAGTGACAGTGAGACAGCGATAGAGAGAAAAAAGAGAAAGAGTCAAACAGACAGAGAGAGACAGTGACAGTCAGATAGAAAGAAAGAGAGAGAGAGAGAGAGAGAGAAAGACAGAAAGAGACAGACAGATAGAGAGACAGAAAGGGAGAGAGTCGATGTCACTGAGACAGAGAGAGAAAGAAAGAAAGAAAGAAAGAAAGAGAGAGAGAGAGAAAGAGAAAGAGAGAGAAAGAGAAAGAGATTTATAAATCTCCACCGGAAGTAATGGCTGCTTATTGAATGAATGCCGAATGTTTCCTTATAAAGGAGCAGGTAATATTACCATTACCAGTCATATAATTGATATTGGATATTTATTTTTATTGTAAATCCTACATTTGTTGGTGGGCGTTACTGATTTAAGACATGAGAAATACTGAACAGTCACCATTAGTTTTTCCTTCCGCTTGTGCTGTTAGGCGTCGCGGGGGAGACACAATCGTCTGTCAGTGGCAAGACGCGTGGCCTGGAGGAGAGATATCTCGTGGGCTCTGAGACTCTGCCACTGAGTTGCCCCAGTGTCTTCTTGATCAGCCTCTCGCTCTCCAGCCAGAGTATCTGAGGATGTATGCTCGTAGAGCTGGTTAGTTGATAAGCATACGAATGACGTGTTCGAACCACTTGATCCTCTGTCGTTCGATGTGTTGTATGATTGGTATTGCCCTACCATATCTCTTATTTCCTCATTTCTGATCTTTACTCACCTGGTCATGTTCACTGCTTTCCTCAGACATTTCATCTCACCAGTGATCAGTTTCCTCTCAAGGGTTTTTGTTAGGGGCCATGTCTGTCACTGGTATGTTAGCGTTGGTAGGGAAATGACGTTGATGAGATTTGCCTTGGAACTCATGGAAATGCTAGGATGTTTTAGAAGAGGAGCAAGTTGGTAACTAACTGCGTTGGCTTTCTGACATCTAGTCTCGATTACTCTGTCTATGCCGTTTTCAGTAAATATGTTGCTCGGCTATTTGAATTCACTGGTTTGCTTCAGCTGGGTATTATTGATGTTAACGTCCAGTTTTTCTGGTCTCTTGCTGACGGTAATGACCTCTGTCTTACTGACACTGTTCTTCAGATCGTATTTCTCGCAGCTTGAGTTGAGTTGAGTTGATCATTGTGTTCCTGCAGCTGAATCATGTCGTTGTTCATCATTGCCTGGTCGTCAGCGAACATGAGTTCGCTGAGTGCCTTAGGATCTGGATTGGCCTTCTTTGTCATCTGGTCCATGAAGATCACGAACAGTAGAGGGGAGAAATTGCAGCCTTGCCTAACCCCAGATGTTACTGGAAACCAGTCAGACTTTCCACTTGCCGTGCGGACTGTTAGTGTACATGGCCCTGATGTTGTCTAGCAGCTGCGGCATAACGTCGTACTGCTCGAGAATCTTCCATAGCTTATCTCTCTTGACTCGATCGAAGGCCTTTTCCTGATCCACGAATACCAGATGGAGATCTTGGTCGTGTTCTAGCGCCTTCTCACACAGTTGCCGGAGTACAAAGCGGTGCACCCACCTTCATTCCTGAAGCCAAACGAGGCGCCACTGAGGAGATGTTCTGTTTTTACTCGAGTGCGCTGCTCAAGGATCCTTGCATGCATTTCCCTACAATCGCTAGTGTGTTCTCAAAAACAAAAACTCAGATAGTCGTGATAAAGAGAGATAACTGAGACATCCAGAACTAGAAAAGTCTAGCCCGGTGGACGAGATAAAGTGTTCAGTTCGAGATTTCAATCATCGGAAGAACGCCGGAGCGTAAAAAGGCAGGAATGTCTTGAATATGGCAATAAAGACGAGGATAACAGTCCGAAAAATGTAAAAAATATTTTTAGATTCTAGTAAATTTTTGAAGTTAATAATGATGTACTGATTAACCTATAGCTGTGAAAAGAAGAGACTAATTGCACGTAAGTGAATATAACAAATCCCAATATTTCCGAGTTCCAGTTGCCGTTCTCCATTACATCACGTGGTTATTTACCCATGACTTCCCAATGAGACGGTATATGACACAAGGTCATATTTAACGTGGGGAACCTGAGTGCGTACACTTGGGCCAGGTACAAAAGTTCCTCGAGCCCCCACAACCGATTCCTCTCTTTAGTGCAATGAGAGGATCCAGCCTCGGGCAGCTGTTCCCCAGGACTGGGTACCTCAATGTATTATTTTCCTCAGCAGCTACTCTCTCCGAAGACAGAAGCTACAAACTCTACCCGGAGCACATCCATGCTTACAGTACCTGGTATTCTGAAGCGGTCAACCATCTACATGTTGACCAATCTCGACGTTGCTTAACTTCAGTGATCGTGCGAGAACTGGGGTTCCAACGTTATATGGACGTAAGCCTCAAGAGTTGGTTGTTTTTCCTGATGTCACGTCATTATTTTGGTAATATATGTGGAATTCGTTAACAGAAGATAATATAGTTAAATTCCCAGATGAATTCTGTGGACAAGACAGATTGCTATCAAATGACAATTGGAAAAAAATCATACATTTTGCCGACGCATAATAAAAAAAAAAAAAAAAAAAAATAATCCCTTACTATAAAGGTAATTTACATTAACCAGAAAAAAGGCTTAGACAGAAGCGTCTATCTTTTTAATTTTTAATTTTAATGTAACTATAACAGCAAAAACATTTCGATTTCATTTTTGCCTTGAAAAAGTCGGAAGACGAAACGCGTCGGCAAAATGTATGATTTTTTCCAATTGTCATTTGATACCAGAAGATAATATATTAAGGCAGTGTGATAATATTTTACGTTATTTAATTTAATATTCGTAGCTGTTATATCATCAGTAAGATTGCAATAATAACTGATAATTAACAAACATCAGTTAAATAAATATTAAACTTTAATTAAATAAGACGAGATATCTCGTGGGCTCTGAGACTATCTGCCACTGAGTTGCCCCAGTGTCTTCTTGATCAGCCTCTCGCTCTCCAGCCAGAGTATCTGAGGATGTATGCTCGTAGAGCTGGTTGGTTGATAGGCATACGAATGACGTGTTCGAACCACTTGATCCTCTATCGTTCGATATTTTTTTTTTTTTTTTAAGCATTGTGCCCCAAGCAAGGCGTGAAGCCACTAGGATGCAGGGGGTTGCGGAAGATTTGGAGCGAGAGCAGACAAGAGTGATAGGAGAAAGGAAGAGGAGAAGGATAGTGGGTAGATCAAGGTAATTGGAGATGTCGATTGACATTACATTTGAATAGTTGGAGATTATAGCTTTCAGGGAAACAGTAATTGGGGAGGGTGTTCCACTGGCGAGAGGTGCGAGGTATGAAGCTATTGCAGTAGAAGAGACGGCTACATTTGAAGGTTTCTACGGTGTAAGGGTGAGAGCGGGATGCCAGCCTCGTAGGGCGCTTGAATTCATGGAGTCTGGGAACCAGAGAGAGCAGCTTATCAGAGCAGTTACCATGGAAGTATTTGTAGAAAAGACAGAGAGAGGCGACGGCGCGTCTGTGAGAAAGTGACTGCAAACAAGACGCTAGATCAGGGCCAATTAGATTACATATCCTTCTCTGGATCTTGTCAAGAACTCCGAGGTAAGCAGAAGGTGCTCCAGCCCATATATGGCAGCAATACTCCATGCAAGGGCGAATGGTTGTTTTGTATGTTGTATGATTGGTATTGCTCGTATCATATCTCTTATTGCCTCATTCCTGATCTTTAACATTGATTTTGAACTTTAACGGACTTTAACTGAACAAACGTAAATATTACTTAAAAGTAATAATTGAATATATTTTGCAATTATTATTTTCATTTCATTTGTTATATATATTATGATTATTATATTATTTAAAGTTATATATGTATTGTTTATTATTATTTTTTCTTTCAAGTTTTTTTGAAAGTTACCGGTTTTTTTGTATGAATTATTATTTATTAGTTTTTATAAAGGGTGATTAATTAAGAGGGATTATGTGTAAGGGTGTTTCATTAAGACGGATCAAAGTCAGCAGTAAATAAATCAGTGTTATAAGTGAAAATTTATTTATTTCTCTATTGGATTATGTTATTTAAGTCATGGCAATTATGTGTGAAAAATAATATCGCCCAAAATGTCCGCCAAATCTGAAAGGAAAAGAAGAAAAAATAACTAGACGCTTAAATTTAATTCATTAATTATTGGAACACTCGTTACAACTAACCTGAAGATCATTTGTCTTATTTTTAATTTCTTTCGTGTCTGTTTACGCTGTGTTAGCTATGGGCGAAAGAGGGCTAAGCGGATTGTGTTATCATCTCATATGATATCTTAGGAGTATATAACTGTAATCTTAGTTGTCTGCAACCATTGCATTTCTTTTTACAAATGTTTGTGTGGCAGGACAAATTGCGGCTGCTTGGCTACAATAATGCACCCGCTCAAAATGCCCTGAGCATCCGGCTGTTCATGGTAAAAAAACCCTCGCCGTATGTTACAGTTTTTTGTGTATATATGTACTAGTAAGATAGCTCAGATGACTTTACTCACTTTATAGTCCACCAATAGAAGGTTAACCAATCAGAAGACGTAGAACATTCAATCCGTCGTGTATAAAGGCGGCCATTTTGTCTACTCTACTCGAATGTCCAGTCCAGCTTGTCAGGCGAAGAGAAACAGAAGGACGAACTACGTTCTGCTACTTTTACCAAAATATCCACTGCTAACCTGAACAACGCTTTCCTACTGTCTTCGAAATATTCACTGCTAACCTCTGGATTCTATACTCGAAGACGACCGTCATCATGAACAACACCGTACTGGAACAACCTATCTATTCACCTGATCTTGCTCCGTTTGACTTTTTATTTCCCCGCAGGTCCAAGGGGATCATCAAGCCGATCCGATTTGAAGGCGTGGAAGCCACCAAGAAAGCCGTAACGACGGAGCTGACGGGCATCGAAGAGGAATCCTTCTAGCAGTGCATAGAAACGTAACAGAGAAGGATTGAAAAGTGCATTAGACTTGAGAGGGATTAATTTCAAGTGGAATCCATTTAGTCTGCTGTTTGGAAATTAAATAAATTATTTGAGATATCAGTCCCGTTACTTTTCAGACAGAATTATTATATATATATATATATATATATATATATATATATGTGTGTGTGTGTATATACTCTCTTGACTCTACCGTCGAATTTGACGTATGAGGGTCAAGCAGATCAGTTTCCAGGAAACCGATAGCCCGACACCGGCACATGAGATTTGATTATAGTGGTGAAGTCCTCGTGCAGGACCATCCACACTTTTCGAAGGGCCGACAGAGACCTGGTGCACCGAGTGCCACAAGGTTTCCAAACGACCTTCCGCGGGTTTTGAATTCAGAGTTGTCCTTCTCCTAGACCAGTTGACATCCAAGGCTATAGAACCCAGTCTGTCCTGCTATTTACCCATAGCTGAAGGGAGAAGGAGAGGATTCACACCTTTCCCAAGGTTTTTAGCACGTAAGTGAATGTGATGGATTCGACTGGAATTCAAACTCGGCTTTCCGATTCCTCAATCCAAGCCGCTAAGAGGTGGCACGGTGGAGTAATGGATATATATATATATATATATATATATATATATATATATATATATATATATATATGCGTAGGCGTGTGCGTGCTTAAATAATAAATCGTTAGTTCTTTTTATAAATATAAATATTTAAGTAAATGCTCTGTTTATAATAAACAGTATTAACTACATTTATTGACCTGAATGTCCAGGAAATTTCTTAGAAAATATGTCCTCCAACAAGAATCGAACCTATGAAATTTTCGGATATATATATATATATATATATATATATATATATATATATATATATATATATAAAATGAAAAACTAGGTAATCCGTAATCCAAGGAGGATAAAATCCATAGAGCTCAATGTAAATCCAGAGCAAATAATTTAAATAAAAACAGACCACTTTAAGGTTCCATGTAATAAATTATTTCACCACAGCCCTTTTATAGGACTGCGGATCATCAGACTTTACTTCCTAAGGTTGAAACGAAAAATGAAAAGAAATTTACACATTTTTGACGGGCCGTATTAAGCATATGTAAATTAACGGAGTGAGGAAGTGCGGGTGGGGAAGAAGACAAGAGTGAGTTAGATGCAATTTCATATTTCTATTCTTTCATGCTTAAAATTACTTGAGGAGGTCCAGACATTGACACAATTAAACGGTTAACTTAACGGAAGTTATATTGATATATATATATATATATATATATATATATATATATATATATATATATATATATATAAAGCTTGTGAGTATATAACTGTAATCTGAGCTTTCTGCAATCATTGAATTTGTTTCATATGCGTTTGTGTTTAGGACAAAGCGTGACTGGACAATATACCTCCTCATAAC